CTTCTTCTTCTTCTTCTTCTTCTTCTTCTTGAAAGGGTCGATAGCGCAGGACCTGAGGGACCCGAAGAGAGTGAGTGACGGGTCTTTGATGAGCGCAGGGCGTTTTTGTCGATACCGTTGCAAGTTAGAGCCGCTTGGGTTCCAGGCTACTTGCGTTCTGTCCCATTTTTTGCTTCTTCTTTATCCGCATCGGGTCGGCGGCGATCCGAGCGTGGCATAGTTGCGCGAGCTTCCGGTCAGGTTCAAAGCCGAGGAGTGAATGGCAGACCTCTTGAGCGCTGTAATCTCACCCTCTCGGCAGTTTATTCAGCATTTTGGAGACGAGAGCGAGGTCTGGTGCTCTAGTGTTCATATGGTCGGTCCATAACCACATTCATGACATCTCTCTCTCGGTACGGGACGGGATCTGATTCCTTTTCGTGCTTAGCATAGTACTTCGAAGCGTACCCTAGGAGGTCTTTCGAAGCTAGAGACAGGCTGTCTGTATGTCTGTCTGTCTGTATTAGCTAGTCAGCCTACAGTACTAGGCAACTGCTGTTGGCCACTTAAGCGAGAACGTCAAAATCAACATTAGACAATCAGCTATCACTTCTTAATTAATCAATAATTACAAATCCAAATTTTTTATATATAAAAAAAACAATTTTTTACTACTCGTTAGACTCTTTTTATTCTTCATGATTTTTGAGCTAATTATTCGAAAGCGCACGCACCTTGATACTGAGTATGCCAGCCTTCGGCCGACACGAAGACCGGTAAGAGTGCATTTTGCAACGGGTGGGTGCTTTCGCTTAGCAGCGAATAAGTACCCCCCTTCTACCTCCTAGGATTAACTCATCTCGCATTCAGCTACCGGTAACTCGTATCACAGCCCAACTTCAAATAACGAAACTGCCCGATTCGCGTTGCCCTGTTGCCTTCTTCTCCGATACTTTCTTCAAGCAGGCCGATAAACAACATTCGTTGATTTCTATATTTCGAAAACTAGAAGACATGAAGGAGGAAGATATACAAAGGCAGCTTGGAAACGGTCTAATGATCTACCGGTAATCTATTCTTACTCCGGTTATTTTTTCCTTGGTGAGGGGCCACTATCCCTCTCTCTATACATAACCTGCGTAAGCTCTCATGAGGACAAAAGGCAAGCGAGCTGGCTCTAACCCAAACGTATACATAAGCAGTATATACTTTTTCTTTTAAAAAAGACGTATGTATATATATACTTTTAAAAAAAACATATATTAAAAAAAAACCCGAAGTTTGGACATCCATTTCGATTCGCGATCAAGATATCATCTCACAAAAACCCATCAATCTCCCACCACAAACCCGCGTCAGCGAATAAACATTACACATGTTAGAATATTGGACTGCCGCCTATATTCCCTTGTATGGAGTAGCCTCTTGGCTTGTCTCTTGGCTACTCCTTTGCTATAGCTCTCAGTACTCTCACACCTAATCTACTACACCTTCTGCACTCCTGATTCTATCAACACAGAATTCCTCCCCGCCCCCCCACCCCCCAAAAAAACAGCAAAGCAAAACCCACCGAACCTCCCTATACCCCACCCAACAGCTATTCTATTCCAAAACCAAAAAAAAAATTTCCAACCCAAAAGCTCATCCATCTCAAACAGCCCACCTCACACAA